AGAGAAAAAAACGGCGCAGTAACACGGGGAATAGTTATTCCCGTGTTATTCATGTGTTATTGTGTGTTATTCATGTGTTATTGATGTGTTATTGTGTTATCATAACATCAAAAATATTCCTATGACACAATAACACATGAATAATACACAATAACACATGAATAACACGGAGGGGAATATTCCCCGTGTTACTGCGCCGTTTTTTTTTCTCTGTCGCGCAGGGTGTCGTGGCGTTATTTCATTGGCTACGCATGTTACTCTACGTGCATAGTACTGATGTAATATTTTTTCTTGATTAAGAGAATACCAGGGATGATGTATAACACGCCATATTAACAATTAATGATACACTTCAGATGAATATTGCATATTCTACTGAATATCTATTTTGTTAGTCAAAAAAAAAGAGAGCACAATGAATTATATTAAACCCAAAAACATGTGTCCTGAAGATGGTCAGCTCCTTTCTAATGTGTAATTATTAAATTGCCTCAAGAGCTTCACATAAAACAAAGGAAGTTATTGCTACACAATTCTTGTAAATTGATTTACAGGAGGGAGTGGTGACAGCACAGATCATGTTAAAATCAAAATGAACAGGAACACCATATAAGACCCACATTTCTACATGTGTTGCTGATAATAAGACCCACATTTCTACATGTGCTGTTGATAAAAGATGCTATCTGTAAAACTAGATAATGCTGAGTTTTTTTTATGATTTTATTAGCCTAATTCTATTTATTCGTCAATGTTTTTTTTTTCTCGTGAAACAATATAGAATTGGACCTAAGTCAATAACCAATAATCATCTAAAAATTAGGGTGGGTGGGGACACAAGAGGAAGGGATCACAAAATCATGAAATGCAAGGTTGGACCTTCAAAAACATTCATATAATCTTTGTGTTGTTACCATTAATCTCTCTAGAATGTAAACTTGTCCCAAGGTCAAAGAGAGATCACGAGTTTTCTCACCAAACTCTGATTTCCTACTAAAATTATGCCAAAAAATATCCTCCAAGAACCACAACTATGATCGGCAACTGAGTTCCATTAGTCTTTCTCTTTCTGTTCGAGATGCACAAATTTAGCATCTAGTGAACGGGAAATAGAGGTTGATGCAGTGGTGTATCATCAATGAGGCAGTGTGGATAAGAAGACAAAAAGAGGTTTCTCCATGATGGTAGGCAGCTTGACTGATAAGACAATTCTTTCAGAGTTTTCTACAAATTTTGAAAGAAATTTTAAACTACCCACAAACTACACCCCCCGTCTACCCCCTCCACTTCTTGTTTTGGTCAATGCTTTTCATTGTAGGTTCTTCCACGTGTACATTTCTGATAAAAATTTGGTTGTGAAGCTTCATTATCTTGATTTAAGAAAATAATTACTTCAAAATTTATTGAAGTTGAAATTGAATTGTATATTCATCGAATTTCTGCGATTAAACTAGGATTATAACAATTTAATAAATTTTTTTTATGTATGATTTAAAACCATGAGCTTTGTCCATGAATTTTTATACAAAAACAATAAATTATTAAAGGGAATAAATTCCATAATTGTGACTTTTGAATTTGTCCCTTCATTGAATATATATTTGAGAATTCTTATCGTTAGTACATTAATCAAAATTGGCAAAAATTTTTGGCATGTCCCACTTGATTTACAGATCGAGCCAAGAATAAAAAATTAGAAATTTCTTTAAGCAGCTTTTTATCAAAAAAAAAAATTTCAAATATGGATAAAAATTACACCAAAGGCCTCTCAACCTCCACCTACAGAGACAAGATGAAAGGAGATACCTCCCCTAGCCAAGGTAGAAAATTATTTTTTCAATTTTACCATAAATTATGTCCCTTGACCAGACATAGTAGCATGTTTTTGTAGGATGATAGTCTAGGAAAAAGGGTGATGTGACAACAATTGACAACACATGTCCATCGTCTGGTAATGGGTTGTTGGAAGATCTATTTTTTCCAAAAATCTAAACCAAATCAATATTTAGATTGACCATGGAGCCATTGAGATTGTTAAAGCGTTGTATAAGATCCATACTATGTTTTGGAGACCCGTGACAAAACATTTTAGATCATAGTAAAAGAACTATAGAGAATGCAACAACAACAACAACAAAGCCTTAATCCCACTACGTGGGGAAACTATAGAGAATGTCTTAAGAAAAAATTATTTTAAAGCTTTTTGGAGACCCATTACAAAACATTTTAGATCATAATAGAAGAGTTATAGAGAATGACTTGAGTGAAAACTCACTTAAAACTTCATGAAAGAATTTTAACTGAAATGGCAAAACAATGGGCTTAATAGTAATGGACATGTCATGAATTCAGATATTCTTTCCTGAAATAGGGAGGATGATATCAAGAATGAATTGGAAAATGTAGTTTGTAATAGTGATAAAAGCGTGGATGAAACAATAATGTCTTGTAATTTGGCCTTTCCAAGGAATAATGTATTTATTAAAATATTAAAAACATCCTGATGTCATGCACTCTTTGTACACCTTAAAAATAATTTATTTTCTTCTCATCTTTTGCTATGAATTTCTTATGTTTGCATATCCAGCATGTTATTGTATAAATTTTACGGACTTCATTGATTTCAGATGAAAGCATGCCCTAGAAATCCTTCTAAAAAGAGAATTGTCTTTCGAATTTTAAGAAAAACTATTTATATCATGGTATCGTGATGTACTAGTTATAGATTGGTTTACAGATTATGGAAGATTTCTTCATTGAATGAGCATACAATGGAAATTTTAGAGTTAAGTATGCTTCAAACAACTAACTTGCCAAACTTCATAAAAACAATACTTTATAAATACTTGATTACTGAAAAAAAAGAACTCTATTTTTGAAGAGTAATCAATATTAGCAAGCTTTTTTGCGGGGGAAAAGTAGATGACTTTCGCAATCTCTTTATAGTGGAAAGATCATTAGCAAGGAACAAACCCATCTCCTTTTTAATTTGGACATTTATCAAATAATTTTTATTTAGATTTTTAAAAGATGACAAAATAATTGTTGGTTTTCTAGAATGCCTCTCAAGCTCTAATGGGAACATTTTGCCAAATTTTAGCCAAATTGTAGAATTAGGGATGATAACTTACATTCCCCAAACCCTTATAAAGAGCGACTAAGTATTTGAGAACTTGTCCGCCTCCCTTACGAGAAAATGAAGTGGATTCAATCCATCAAATGATGGTGTTGAGTATTCTTTATTTCCTCTAAATGCAGTGTAATTTTCTATGACTCAAAAAAAAAGATCTTATATGGAATTTCTAATAAAGACCTTGTCTAGTCCTATGCCCTTTAAGGCTCTCAATCAAGATGCCCTCCTAGGACTTTTTAAATAAACAAAGATTATGTTTATTACTATTCCTCTTAAAGTCCACATATCTCAAAGCCCAAATAAAAATTCTAAATACAAAAAGATTTTCAATCTTAGTGCCCTCGTGATGTCCATATGATGATGAACAATCCTACGGAATTCTAAATATGGACATTTCTTAGTTGTTATGCCCTCAAAAGATCTAAAGCTATAGAGCTCTCATTGGAATTTTAGATGAGTAATTTTTTAACCAACTTTGTTCCTTCTTGAGGTTCATGTGGTAATAAGCTGCCCTAAGGAGTTTTAAACATAGAGAAATGTGTTTGTTATCCTACCCTTATAAGGTTCATATATTATAGAGCAATTGTAAGGATTTTATATAAATAGAATTTCATCCGAGTTCATACCCTATTGGGCCAAGTAATAAGAAACCCTTTTTAAGGACTTAAGGCCTTTATATGCTATTATGCCATTTTGAGATACATGCAAGATTAGCCCTTCAAAAGAGTTCTATTTAAAAAATTAGAGACAGAGCTATAGCGAAGAGATAGGAGATAGCTACTTAAATGTATTTAAGTAGGAGATCTTATCTCTATAGTAGAGGAAGGTTGAATCCAGCAACATTTTGAAAGAATGATCCCGGCCAACGAAATTTATATGGAAGATGGAGGATCTCTAAATGAGATTCCCCAATATAGTGGATACCATTCTCTAATGCATCAATAGCAACTTCACTAGCAAATGTCCTTTAGACAAGAGATAGAAAGAAAAAAGCTTGACTTGAAGTGGGAAAGTATTACTTAAATGGTGGAGCATTTCTTAAGAGAATCTTGTTCAATGCTCGAAGCCCTCTGATTCTTTAGTTAAATGAAGACCCTTCTACCACCTGCCCCGGTTGGCTTCATATAGCATAGAGCCGTCATTGGGGCCTTCTAGTGATGTAGCTTTGAAATAAATTATCCCAAGGCTTGTTACTACTATATTAGTCTTCTAATGTCCCTAAAAAATCTAGAAATTATTTTCGAGGAGTATAAAGCGTTGGTGGAGTAGTTAGTTGGCCAAACCATGAGAACCCATCTAGGCCAATCTCTTGTTTGCTTGAATTTGGTTCAAAAGAGTCTATAAATACGGAGTTAGATGGACTTGAAACCAATTGGAGATGATGGAAAAATATTTAAAACAATGATATGAAGTTCTTGGAATTTTTCTAGGGCAAACAAAACCCATTTTATATACTGATTCACTTCTTTAAGACTTTATTATATTAAGATGG